ACCATTCAAGTCTGGGAATCAGCGGCACCTCAGCCCCCTACCCCAAAGCTCACTGCCTGGTGGGCCCTGACTGGTATGCCCACCCAAATGCATACTCTACTTTTTTTTTCTTTCTTTTTTTTTGGTACCAGGGATGGGACCCAAGGGTGTCTGACATTCCCAGCCTTTTTTTTTTTTTTTTTTGAGACAGGGTCTCGCTGAGTTGCTTAGGGCCTCACTTAGTCATTGAGGCTGGCTTTGAATTTGCAGTCCTCCTGCCTCAGCCTCCCAAGCCACTAGAACTATTAGCATGCCTAGCCACAACCCTGCTTTTACATACAACAGAACATCCTGGAAAGTTCCTGGGCCAGAATAAGACACCAACAGAAATGTGTGCATCTTTATGGTGGAGGGACCTTGTCTGTTTCCTCCATGCCTGGGAAAGGGCCTCAAGTGGATCCTCCTCAGTTGACATTTGCAGAGAAAGTGGACAAGAGAGCCATGTGCACATACAGCCCAGGGTCACATGTGAGGACATTGCTGCAGACAGACACTCTGTGTGTGCACAATGAGCCTTACCCAGGGCAGGGCCCCAGCACGGCTGCCACCCTAACCTCTCTCCCAAGGCCTGTGTAAGGCAAAGCCCCCGCCTTAAGTGCCACCTCAGAGCCTTCGGCCAGGTCAGCAGGCCTGCTGGGGGTTTCCCTGAGTACTTCCAGGGTGGCCTAGGTTTAGGCCATCACTGCCCATGCCAGATGACAAGACTGAGGAGAGGGAAGCTTGAGCCTGTCTGACCAAGCTGCTCAGCTGCCCCAGTTCCACGATCTGAGGTCACCAGCAGGACAGGGGCAGGGCTGAGGCTAGGCTCTGGTTGGCCCCTGGCGTCCAGTGGGCAATGGCCGCTTCCACGGCTTCAGTGGGAGCAAAAAGGAGGAGGAAGCTGGGGCTGCTGTCTGTGGTGGGGCCCAGAAACTGAACTTGGGGAACCCTGAGCTGGTAGGCAGACCTGACTTTTCAGCAACAATTGTGACACTCTGCATGGGCCCAGGCACATCGGTCCTGGCTATGAAGGTGGAGCGGCCATGGCCACCCCCATCAGCAGCCTCCGCAAGTCCTAGTGAGTAATGCAGCAGGAGGCCCTGGGGAACATTGGCCCTGTTTCCTGGAACTCAGGGGCTGATGGGGGAGGTGCTGGTAAAGATGGCCACAGGGCTGGGCGCGGCGGTGCACACCTGTAATCCCAGTGGCTCCGGGAGGCTGAGGCAGGAGGATCAAAGCCAGCCTCAGCCAAAACGAAGTGCTAAGCAACTCAGTGAGACCCTGTGTCTAAATAAAATACAAAATAGGACTGGAGAGGTGGCTCAGTGGTCGAGTGAGCCACAGGCCATAGGCACAGTGTGACAGACAGGGAGGTTCAGGCCACACCTATTAGCCAATCACACTCCAGCATGAATTGGGGGCAGGAGAGAAGGGTGAAGAGGGGCTGGAAAGAGGAAGACTCATTTCCCCCTTTTTATAACTTCTGCAAAGCTACTGAAACCGGCAGGGCCTCAGCAAGGACTCTCCAAGCCCTGTATCTGCCAAATGAGGAAGTGGGAGCCCCAAGAGGCAGTCAGCCATGGGGCTCCAGGCTTTCCGGCTCAGGGATCATAGGATGGTTCCCTGGTCAGACCCAGGATCAGCCTCACAGCCCGCCACTTTGCCTCAGGAAAACCTCTAACTACCAAATGGGGTGGGTGGGACAACTGCCCTCCGGGGGCTTGCAGGCCACCCTGCCACTAAAAGCTCACAGGAAAACCCAAATGGGCTGCTTCGCCCCAGTACACGGCCACCAGGCCTCTGCACTGCTCCTGGAGGAAGAGTCTGGCAGGGAACGTGGTCTCCCTGAACCCCTTGATGATGTGGCCCTGAGAGCCAGGGAAGTCTCTGACAGCTGAGGAACATGAGACAGAAGGGGATCCTGGGGAGTGGCACTGGGACCAGGAATCCACGCATGGTGCTCTGTGCTCCATTACCCTGGAAATGGTGAGGCTGGGGGAGTGAGGGCCAAAGTGCATGCACACCTCATTTGGCTTCAAGCCACCTCAGGTCAGCCTAGGGGCTGGTTTCTTCATACTCACCGATCAGGTGAGCAAGGCTGGGTGGGATTGGGGGAGGGAGGGCAGTGGGGCTGTGCTCCTTAGGAGACTCAGAATTCCCTGCAGGGGCAATGTGAGGTGGGAGTTTCTATTTAGAGGGTACCTAAGACCACCCACCAGGGTGTGAAAAAATTTTTTTTTTAACATGAGGTCTCAGGCTTGGGATTCAGCTCAGTGGTAGAGCACTTGCCTAACATGTGCTCTGTACCTCCAAATGCCACTCAAAGTGGGGTCTTGCTATGTTGCCCAAGCTGACCTTGAACTTGGGAGCTCAAGTGATCCTCCTGTCTCAGCCTTTCAAGGGCTGGGAACCCAGGCGTGTCCCACCTTACCCAAGAACAACCCCCCCCCCATTTTTTTCTTTTTTATTATTACAATCTGTACTTGAACAGAAGTTCAAATGAGGAGGTATTCGTTTTGTTCACCGAGATGTCCCCAGCAGGGATTAGGGGCCTGGACATGGTAAGAGTTCCATGAATGTGGCCTATGAATGAACTGCATCCTCTTCCTGAGGTCTATCTTGGGGGATGGTCCCTGAGGAATGTGCTGTGTTACTTCAGTGGCATGTGGGTGTTATGTGATTTGTAGAAATTTTGGGATTATGTATTCAAATTTTTCTCCCAATGGAGTCAATGGTTAGAAAACCTTGGAAACCTCTAATCTAGGGGACCCCCGTGAATGTCGAGGGGAGAAGGATACAGCTCTCCTCCAAAGCAATATGGGCAAAGCCCCAGGCTGTCAGCTAGGGAGGACACTCTCCCTGTCCCCAGGCTTTAGGGCTGCCTCCTCATGGTGCTGGGTTTAAACTGTCTCTCTCCAGATTGGCTGGGCGTGGGTCAACCTTCTGCCATGTCTTTATCCAGCACAGGCTGCAGCTCTTCCTTGCCTGGTTTTCCTGGGTCTCCCTGATTCCAGAGTTCTGGCTGTATTAGAGGCTAAACTAGGCAGGAGTTGCCTGGAGCAAGGACCTTGGCTCCAGAGGCACTGCAGGAAGTCTCCGCCCAGCTCGCTCAGGCGCTTGGAGGGAATTGCCAGCAAGCCATTTTGGTCAGGGTGCTCAGTATTACTCAACTTCCTGTTGTGGGTAGGAGCCTGGGTGGTGTGATCAGCCCTTGCTACCCCCATTCACCCCTCCTGACTCTGCTCTTTAAGTCTTACAAGCCAGGCAAAGTCAAGAAACAAGACTCAAACAATTATAAGGCACCACAAAGCATGAATTAAAGAAAACAAAACAAAACCCAAAAACACATAAAACTCAATGCTGGGAGGGCTGTGGAGAAATTCTCTCATTTGTTGCAAAATAGTTTAGTCTTTCTGAAGAGACTGATAAACTGAATTCAACAACTGTGTTAGGAATGAATAACATTAGCAGGGACTTTAAATTTGTTGACAATCTTGAGTCACAACCATATGGGTACTAATAACCCCTGATCATCATCATTTTCCCCCCTTAAATATGCTCATTAAAACCCTCTTGGTATCAGTAACAGGGAGGAAAAATTCAGATAACTACAAAGATAAAAGGAAATTGTGATATTAACATGTTGGGAGTCTGGGGATATAGCTCAGTGGTTCAGCGTAGAGCTCTTGCCTGGTAGGCTTGAAGCCTGGGTTCCATCCCCACCACTGCAAACAACAAAAACAAAATAAAAAACACATTATGATGCTACTTATCTACTTATTAGAAAAGACCCATCAATCATGTATAAAGACATATTTTGTACATGAGCAAACAGGCTCAGATAAAAGCAAAGATCCCCTCCAAGTCAGAGTTCCTCAAAGGCACAGCTACGACTGGACCCCAAGGCCCCAAGGTCGGGTCCCTCAGAGCAGACACACATCCAGACTGCAGGCTTCATAACAGCAACAATAGCAAGCATTCATACGCTGTCTGTACCTGGCGCACTGCCAAGTGTCTTACACACATTCTCGCATTTCAGCCACGCAACATGAAAGGTCCCCATTGTCCGGATAAGGAAAGTTGAGTCACACAGAGGTTAGGGGGCTCTCCAAGGTCATGGGGCCAGAGAAGGAAGAAGTTGGCATGCTCACCTAGGTCCCCTGTATCCTTCTCACCCTCCGGTGTGCACTGCCCAAGGCTCGCGGAGCCCGGAGACAGCCCTTCCTGGTCTGGCCCTAGGCTCTGATCTGCTAAGGCTCCAGTCGCCGCCTGCGGGACCTGGCTGCGCTCCCTGCGTCTCGGGGAAGGAGGGGGCGCCCGGATCCCTCGCCAGGACCCACGCCCGTCCG